GGGATATGCTCTAGAGCAGCAGCCAGATTCAACACAAGTCCCTTTTGACCGAACATCACTTGCTGGGCACAGGGTCAAGACAACGGATGCATGAAATATGCATTCCTGCACCACTGAACTTCACCCATAGTGTTGGTGTTTTGGACGGTTTCAAGGACTTCACATGATAGGTAGATAGGTACCAATAACCCCGGCCAGAACCTCATGGAAGCCTTTCTCAGCCACTGCCTGCAACCGCCCATTTTAAGATATGATATAAGTGGACGCCTGGCTTTCGTCCGGGCCCCCGCGCTTTCGGGGCAAGGCAAAGGCTGTTGTCCACTGGGCCGTCGTACGGCACCTGCAACGTGTCTCACTACTTCCACAATTTATCTCAGAGGGGAAAAGGGTTTTTGAGCATCCCAAGCGCATATAAAAATGCCACTTGGGGAGACTGCCTTTGCGCCGTGTTGCTGGTGATGCTGCTCCAGCCTGTTGCTTTGTTTAGCATTTTCTGGGCTCCACGGTCCAGAATTCACGGTTCATGGTTCACATGTCCACGCAATCCAGCCTTCCAGCCGCTTCTGGGTGGCGTCTGATTGGCACGTGTGGGCTGGTAGGCCCAAACCTGCCCCGTCTCGGCCGTCTCGGCCCCGTCTCGGCCCCGGGGCAGAGGAAATGTCAGTGGCTCAGATCCAATCTGAGAAGCGCAAGATCCAATCTGGGTGGATGGTTTCCCAAGTGTCTTCCCCTTCCGAGAACCCAAAGACGAACTGTCTTCTGAACTTCCAATGTTCGCCCAGAAAACGGTGCGGCCATGACGCCCTGCTCCTCCTGGCAATGCCTGGCCCCCGCGTGACCCCCCCGGCCTGGTCCCCTCCGATCTTTGGCCCGAACCACCAACCGCTAAAGGCGACGCCGTCCCGCTCATCCCAGTAGTAGAGCCTCGGTCCGACCCGGACCCGCTTTTGGGGGCGCTGTTTTGCCGGTCGGGATCCAAGCTTTGGATTGGTTGCTTTGGAACCTGGATAAAATAGAGCATGCATTCACCAGAAGGGGATTTACATGGATTTACCCATAGATAGGGAAAGTTAAACATCATATAAGCAAAAACCCAGGGATTTCTTTTCGTGTTCTTTGTGGTTTTGGTATGTTTGGAGGGTGAGCATGTGGTCATATGTGGTCCCTGCAGGTCTGTCAAAGAAAGCGAGTACATCGGTGTAGACCCAGGTCGTGACCTCTATTTTTGGACCACTGCTCGCACCCCACCATATGGTCCTATCAAAACAGGGGTCATGTCTGGGCTCTCGGATCCATCCGAATCTTCAACATGAAGGATCCATCTACGACAGGCCCGACAGGCACGCCTATACTAAAGAGGCGCCCAGAGGCGCCCGGATTGGTTCGGACACCGATGTCAGAATGCGCGGTTCAACAATGGGCATCTAGCTACCAACAACGACATGACAAGCATTGCGCCCTATCTATATATATATATATAACTGGTATGCAAAACCCCAACCCACAAACAAATGATCCAGCCTACGAAATACACCCATCAAATGATCCAGTCAACAGTTCTGTGCCCTGAAAAATGCCATGGAAACTGCCAGGTGGTGCCATGTAGAACGATCCACGGAGAATCTCAAGCTGCCAAGGGACATGACGTCCAAACCACTGACCTCCGGACGGCCGTGCCGGCCACGGCCGGGACGTTTGACGAGGCTCGTTCCCACGACCACAGGAACATCGGAACATGCGTTCCCGCCGACCCATCGGAACGCGCAATGCGCGCCTGACCCATCCATGGAACTTGAAATATTCCATTCCCCTTTTAACAAAGCAAAGTAAATAATATTATGTTAAAGGACAAAAAAGACCCTTGGTCTTTTTGGTTCCCTTTTTGCAGGCCTGCTGCTCCTTTTTGTAGGCCGGCTTGTCGTGATTGGACCCAGACAAGATGTAGTTGCCTCTCACCTCATTCATGTCGCAGAAACCATGGACCGATGAAGGAGATAATTCGATCTCAGTGGTTGGAACAAAGCACTACTGCAGTGGATCCCAGTTACCACTACAATACAAGGAACCAGGAAAACCCTAGGTCGTCTATATGGTTTCTAGGTCTCTAGGAACTACTGGTTGCCAGCTAGTGGTTTGCCTAGATCCACTCAAAAACCAAGCGGTCTTTTTGTGCGCAAACATAGGGAGACGATGCGGTCCCCAAAGCTACACCGGCCACAAATCACCCCATGCACGACCTTCCACAGCGGTCCTCAAATCGATGACTTGTGAGGCCAAGATGGGTCCCCCTATCCCACTGGTAATGCAAATAGACTTGGGGTCAGTCTGTGGGTCGTGGTTTCTTTGAGGCATTTTGAGGCACATCAAGATAGTCAAATAGATATTTACAGCTTTCAAGACATTCCCTGCATCGATGTTCTATCAAAGGGTTCCCTGGATTTGTATCTACTTGGCATGTCGCCGTACCAGTTTATAGCCCAATGAGACTTTTAAAGCAGGTCAGAAAGGAATGATCCGTCTCAAGATGGCTCAAGCTGCACTTCTCAGTGAGCATCCTGGACCCTGCACCGCCCACCTTCTCAGTGCTTGAAGGGGAGAAGCGTTTTGACGTACGCACATTGTGGTGGACTCAATTTGATGTGAGATGTGGGACAAGACACCCTGCTTGGGTGAACATCCAACAGCGTGATGACCTCTCTCGTCGACCCGATCGGGTCCTACAGACCCAGGGCGCCGTACAATGGGCCCCACGTTGGTGTGAGTGCATCCACTCACCGTAATCTGGGCCTCGGAAGACATGTGGCCCAGAGTGGTGCTTCTGAACTGGCCGGAGTCGGTCGGTTTCAAGTGGGCCTTGAAGGGGGAAACCGTTCACATGAAGTGGAACCCGAAAAAGAGGCTTCGAACTACATGTTCCCTTGAAGGTGGCCCCCAAGAAAATCCGTCTCCCCTTCCTTGAACTTAAGTTCACTCCTACTCCACTTAGAAGTCACGGAAGCTTTCGGTACCAAGCCCAATGACTCCGTCCGACGTTCAACCCGCCCGGTCGGAGCACCCACTCCCCTCCCCGCTTCGTCAGAAGGGTCACTAAGGGTGCTTTGGTCCAGTTGGGCCCCAAGCTTTCAGGGGATCTGAGCCAAGAGTTTTCTAGGGTGTAAGTTAGGAAAATCCCATTTCTCTGGGCCCAGTTGGGCTGATGATGGTTACGTAGGTCGCAGGCCGACATCTACAGGTCATGGGATGGCACCCTGGGTCGGTCCTAGGTGTAAGCATCGTCATGGGTTCTCCAATGATGCATCCAGTAGTGCTTAGGCTTAGCACCTGAACCACGTGGCAGTGGGTCAGAACCGGGGGACCCGTTTTCAACCTACCGGGGGACCCTTGGAGCTCCAGGTTTTGACCCACAGCCATGTAAAGAATCCCCGCAAGGACATGCTCTTGTGCACGAAACCAGGGTGAAACCAAGGCCTCAGGCGGAACCTTTCCCAGTCCGCTCGTGACATGATGCTGCGATAAAGAGGATATCGCCTCAGTTCCATGGGAAAAAGGTCCTGCCCTTCTTCAAGCTCATCAGGAGGTTAGCTCATCAGGAGGTAGCTCTTATCCTTTTTATTCCTTTTTTTTCGTAATGGAGAGACCTTTTGGACCCAACGGCTTTTCCTGCATACCTACTGCCTTGAACATCCTTGAACAACAATCGTTCATTGGGCCGGCTGCAACTGAAGACTGGTGCACTGAGCCGTGCTCACTTGCAATCACGGCTACTTTCTAGGGCGGCGCCCTTGTCTGTGAGATGGTTTGAGAGAGCACTTGCAGTACTCCGGTGTCCGGTGTAAGACTTACAGGGATTGGAACACGTTTAAGAATGTTCAAAGCGGTCTTCCTCTATACCCAAAAACAACTGTGATCTCCGGTTTTGAGGGCAACCGCAGGAGAGACCAGGTCCAAACCCACGGATCTGCTCTTGAACTCAGATTCCACCACCCCCGCGCGCGGAACGAGCGTCAGTTCACTGGCGCGGAACTGGTGTTTTGGTTCGACTCGGGCTGGCAGGCAAACCTCACTAGATGTTCGGTGTTCGGGCTGTGATCTCACCTGGAATTTTTGCGCCACGTGGTACCTTGCAAATCGGGTCCAAATCGAGTAAAACCCAACGGACCAACCGACCCAGCCCAGCTCGGGTCTCGTTGGAGTCACCATGGCCTCAAAAGACACCCTGGTTGTTTGGCGTCCGGATGGAGGACTTCCAACGCCGCTTGCGTCTGGCAACTGCAACAGGTGTCAGGTAAGGTTCCAATCACCTCATTGAGATGCTAGGATATGACTATGATTGACATGAAGTGGGCCTTTGGCCTTCGCAACCCACCCTACAAGCTGCTGTAGATACATACCGAGATGGGAGCTCAGGACAAAAACCTCACAGCCCAGCCATCTTACTTGATCCTGGGTCCTAGGCAACTGCGGCAACTCACACTATCTGATCAAATCAATTCCAGGTGATGGCTTCGGCCCGGGTTCACCGTTGTGAACGGTGCAGGTGCGGAGACAGGCCGATCACCGGGGGCCGCCGCAGAGAACGGCTGAAACGACCACCACACGGCCCCAGATCGGCCCCAGATGCGCCCGATGGAATGGTGGCGAACATGAAAAAGGCAGGGGAATCCAATGGCCAATGCTCACTCTGCTCACTCTGCTCACTCCCTCAGTTTTCCCTGCATGAAACCTTTCTTCTTCAGGTGGGTACCTTTCTTGTTCGTGCTTGGTGGGGGTTTGGTGGGCCACCAATCCCAATCCCTTTCGGTGGTACCGGACGCAGACCGGACGCAGGTGATCCACGGACCTTGGGAGGCATCGTTCGATCCTCGCCCATCGGCTTCGCCGCTGAGCTTGAGTCGCTCCACAGGAGGAAGACCCGGTGCAAGCAGTTTGGAGGAAGACCCACGCAGCAGGTGTCAGAAGATCATCTTTGCATTACTGAGAAACGTTGGGTCTGAAGATATGCCTAGCCTTCACTTTGATGGTGTTTCTGCGTCAGAAAGGGCATCTTCTGTGCCCCCCCCGCGGTCCAAACCAAGGCGCCCTGAGAATGCCTCTTGAGACACCCCAAACATCTGACTCACATCCTGTCCGGAGCATCAGTTTCTTCTCCAGCATCGGCCTAAGAACACACATCGCTTGAGAGCAGATCCCCCTCAAACAAACCATTGGGTGACGTGCACATCTGCTCATGGTTTTCTGAACAAGAAACGTCAAGAAGCATCCCCCCGGCTAAAATCCGTGCTCATCCCGAGAGCAACCCATGACTTCATGTGAAACTGCATGGTATAACGTGTGGCATAGACTGCCCGACTGCAAGTTCCGCCTCCAAGAGCCCAGACTGCCAGAGGATCTGCGCGCCTCTCTCTCGCATATGTTCTTGTGACGGGATCAAGCCTAAGATGTCACCTGGATGTCTTGCAAAGAAGGCAAAGAAACGCCGGGGCGTGCCACGGCAAGGCACCTGAAATCACTTGAGGATACAGCATTGCTTGGCTTGGCTTGGCTTGGCTGGTTGGTTGGTTCGTTGATTCGTTGGTGCTGGCTGGCTGGCTGGTTGGCACCTGGTGTCGATCGTTCGCTGCATGGTGGTCGGGCGAACATGGTGGGTCACAACCCATCCCCATGTGATGGCAGTGGACGACCTCAGCCTTTTCCAAGTTGCACCTGTTGATGACGAATGCGCCGTGATTCTTGTAGATCCGAGGTATGCGGTTGTGGGATGCTCTTGTGGCTTGGTCGTTTGGGACTGCGCGCACCCACAAGAAGAAGCAAAGCGGCAAAGCAGTTGAGACGTTGCTGCAATTCCAACGCTTGGCTCGCCGAAAAAGAAAACTCCATACTCCAAAAAGCTGGGGCGATCTGCTTGCAGCAAAACTTCCTCCACTTCCACCGAACCCTCCGGGAAGCCCGCTCGACCTCGACCGGGAAGCTCCATCGACTGCCAAGGGGCCGGTCCATCGGGCGCGCGATCCACGGAGACATCGTAGGTCTCCATGGTGAAGCGAATCAGGATTTTGTACCTGTCAAAAATTTCACACACACCGAGTGGAAGTATGGGAATTATTGGGTCTGGAAAGTCTGGAAATGGTAATGTTTTCCCATGGCCAGTTTCAGTGGATGATGGTGTTCGTAAAGGATATAAAGGGATATAAAGGGTGTGTTGAAAACAAAAAAATGGTGGGAATCGTTGACCGACTGTCAGTGATATTGGGACAATATTGGTCTTACGAAGCGAAGGGTGTTAGACGACAAGCAGTTCTTTGAAGGTTCGAAGTGAAGGCCATAGGGATAACGTGCTAGGTGCAAATCGACCGGAAAAGTCCATTTCCCGAACTTATACTAAAGATTTTATATTTGAGGAAAGTCCATTGAAAGTCCTACACATATGATAACATAACGTGCATCATACAACTGATGCAATTGGAAAATATATTCTGCTAGTTAATCTTGTTTAATCGTCCAGCACAGCAAACTAGACAAAACAGTCCAATCATACATTCCAGGAAAAACTCAATTCAACATGCAGGGTTTTCAAGCGCTTTTGGCCTTTGCAGGCTTTGTAAAGAACTACGGAGGACCGTCTCTCGACCGAAACAAACGTGTGGCCTGGGCTACGGGGCTACGGGGTTTCCAAGACAGACAGAACGGCTCAGTTGATTCTGAGACATCACACATCATTGTGATGGTTTAATGGAATGGTGATGGCCACATTGTCCACATCAGACATTAATCACAATAATCCCGTCAGACATCGCATGATGTTTCTCTCCATGCCAGGATTGAATGGTGGAAGAGGCTATTCGGACAATACAACAAGGATGGAGCCCGCTCTTTCTCCGTGGTGTCTCGCAAAGGAACCCAAAAACATGCCACCACGTGCAACCCCTGGTGGCAAGAGGTTCTAGACGCGTGTCAGAGTAGAGCAGCCGTGACACATGATGTAACATGTTTCACGAACGTCATTTAACACAGCACGACAACAATCTGAAGGACCACCCTCGTCTCTTATAGGTTTCCATGGGCAAATGTGCCGCACCTTTCCATCACCCCTTTCGGTCGACCCTGCAGCCAGAAGCGGGCACCACTCCATGATTTCCAGTTCCCGCTCAGATCTCAACTCCAACTGATAGTCCGTGTAGTCCTAAACACAGCTTCGTGTTGACGGGATAATGAGAAGCACGCCCACCCACCCTACAGACCAGCCACGCAAATGATTGAAAGAAACAAAAAAAAACTGGGGTCTTCCCAGTCAATACACCCAATTGCTTGTCCAAGGTAGCACCAAAGACCAATCGCTTTCACGACAGGGTGCACAAAGGTTCATAAAGGTTCCAGAACAGAAATGTCGAAGCTGGACAACAGCACCTTTTTCACACAGGCACACAGGTGATACATACACGCACACCCATGCACACAAACTCTCCACCAGGCTCTTGCAGTGATGGAATCTCTCCAGACTCCTCCCTCCCCGCCCTCCTGTTCAACCTCGCCCTCCCCCACCCGAATCCGCAAAACAACAAGGTCAGTCAAAAAAGGTTGGCCGACATTTGTGCCTCCAAGCGTCTGGATTGAATTGGAGCAAGATGCGCGTGGAGTAGGGAAACCTCACCTCCGTCCCAACCCAGGACGTCCAACCAAACCTTTTCAGACTGGGAGTATATAGTTTGCATTGAAGAGAGCAACAAATGCAAAATGGTTCAGACTCGCTTTAACATACCTGCACTGCAGGATTAGGCCTTCCAACTGTGCCATCATGTATGTTGCATTGCCCCTGGCCACCTGATAGTTGTTTGTTTCAACCATACTTCAACAACTGAAACCGCATCAAAGTGCCAAAGTGTGTCAAAGCGAAACGTTAAAGTTCCACGTTTGAAGAACATCTGTGCCCTCGCGTTGTGGCACATGTTGGTCCGCGTGCGGCTCGCCTTGGTCCGCGTAATCTGCTTGAGTTGAGTGAGATCAAGACATCTCACAGGCTTGGGACGAGGCCTCAGGCAGCGTCGGGGAAGCCACGTGACGTCGGGCTGAGACTGACGGTTTCGTGGGCCTTGACACAGACTGCACCAACGCGGCGCGTCGTACGACCCACGAACCAACGTGGGTGGCGTCTGAAGTCAGCAACCCAGCTTCCCTGATTCGATCCGCTACCGAGATGTGGGTTGACGTTGCTTATAGCTGAGTTGAGTGCAAAAAGCTTACAAGCTTAGCCTGACAAACTGAGCACAGGTCATTGGAATTGCCACAGGGACGTTCTGTTCCACAGCGGTTCATGGTGAAACAGCTGAAGGATGATTGATGGGTCATTCCAATACAACAGTGGCTGTCGTCCAAATGACTTGGACGCTTCGTTATGTGGACGACCGCGTTTTTGAGGGCGGGGCACTGGGCAGCACTTACTGGACAGTGATTTTTTCAGTAGATGGGGGCGTTGCTGGCATGGTCACGTCACATCATGGTGAAACCAGTTGATATGTTTTAGTTCAGGAAGATCAGGAGGAAAACACGGAAAACTTGCGAGTTCACGAGTTCTTCGAGGGAAAAAGGTTGCCTCAAGGTGGACACTCACGGAATGTCTCCCGTCATGTCGATGTGGAAGTGAAATGAATTCAATTCTATAGCTGACTGCAGGCTAGATGGATCAAAGCAGTGTGTTTGATCAGGACCGGTCACGAAAGGAAACAGCCGGATCACCTAAGCTCTGAACTCCTTGTTCCGGATCACCTCCAGGGTTTCGCGGTCCGAAAAGCAACCGGCCAAGAAGCGGATCTAAACGATTGACGCCCAAAGTCCACCCCGTTGGATGATCCGAGGGACGAAAACTGGGCAGCAGCAATGCAGAGCATGTCATGTAGTTTGATGGGAAATTTCCCAAACCATGAGGTCACCCTCATTCCATCCAAGTTTGGTCGTGCTACACCTCCCCGATGACCTTGGCATGTCCTTGAATGACCCTTTTTGGTTTCTGGATGAGCTGCCTCTATAAAAGAAAGGATCGAGCAAAAAATAAATGCCTCCTAAGAGACACCCCACAGCCATCGCTGAAAAACGACCTCAAATCGCAAAAAAAAAAGGTTGTGACCACTGCTGCTGCAGGGCATCATCCAGTGCAATGACAAACACAAGAACCGACAACGAACAATGTCACAGACAACACACAACAATCACAAAACCAAGTTGTCCCACGAGTGTCCCGCCAATGGTGCAACATGCCAGCAGACAACAAACGTTGACCCACATAATGACAACACCAATAATAACACTTGACAACACATAATGACAAACATGACAGCAGACAACAAACAATGATACACATAATGGCAACACCAAGCATAAGCACAACCCTCACAACCCTTGATACCACAACGGAACGAGAACGACACGTCATGTTGTAACAATTACACCACTGGCATAGACCCTTCATGTTGGGACTTGCCTGGTTGAGTGGGGATCCAGGATAGCTCAGTCAGATGCCGAGTCTCCGATGTCTGTTCCGGATGAAAGGAGCCTTCCGCCCCGAACAAAGCGCGGGACCTCTGACGAAGCGACCTCCCTCGCAAACCTTCTTGCATGAGCCACCCTGAAATACCAGTGGTTGGCATGGGGCTGAATCGCACATCAAGCTTTGAATGGACATACATCATACATCTGCCCAACTTGGGGTAGGAGAGAAGCACTGCACACTGGCAGTGTGAAAGTTCTTTATTCAGCGACCATCTCAAGTCCTCTTTACTCTTCCAGAGGGAAAGTGCCACCCAAAAATCAAGAGGGTGGGTGTGCTTGGGAGAGCACACACTAGCTCAAAATCCTCTCCCAGGAGCACCCGTTCTGAAAATAAAATACGATCAATCCCGAATCCTCACCCCCCGGTGCCTGTGGAGGTCTTGGCTGGGTGAGCTGATCCTTGAAGGAAGGCCTCACGACCAGACCGATCCAGCACAAGGTTGCCACGAAGGATGTTGCCACGTGGTGGCCATGTGGCAAGGCAAGAAGGCGAGAATCCAGAATCCAGCACCCTCTTTGGGGGAAGATGCTGTTTCTTCAACTGTATTATAAAAGTGAGTCCGGTAGACTCAGGTGAGTCCGGTAGACTCGACTCTGCCAGGGCCCACCACGCCACGCCACCACGCCTCCACCATCGAATCTGGCCCTCCGTCAGCTCGAAAAACCTGCCGAGATGTGGCAGTGCTGATCCATCGTGAGACCTATTTGGCTGTTTGACTGGTCCATTGTAATTCTAGGACAATTTTGCTAGGATGGCTGCATCAAAAATAGAACTCTTGATTGGTAGAGTTTCGAGTGAGTGCTTGGTTCTTTGAAGTTGTGTGCACATTCCTACAATTGGTTTGAGGAAAACTCTGCGTGGTTTGAACCGCCAATACTATGGGTTGCCCTTAGATTTTCTCTCAAACCATGGGAAACATTCCATCAATCTGCTGTAGATCCAACAATTAGCAGCTTTCTTGCGCATTCTTGTGAGGTGATAAAAGTCGTACTGTGCAAACCTGCTTACACCAACATGTCAGAAGTGCAAACTTCAGAAGTACTCCAGTGGACCCGCCAGCCGGAGCCCGTCTTCGCTCCGACGGACCGATGGACCGCGCGCGGACCCGCGCGCTCCGCGCTCCGAGGCCGGGCCGAATGGTCCAGCGAAAGCGCGATTTCCCTGCACGCTTTTGCAAGTACCTGGTGGGGCCCAGGTGTTTTCGGAAGCCATGTCGGAAGCGAAGGCCCAGGTCATGGCCTAAAATTGGTAGATCATGGCAGGGTGGGGGATGTTCGACTTCACACGAAATATTGCTGTTTCATGGTGTTTCTTAGATCTAAGTTGCATGGGGGGAAGAGCACGAGAATGTAAGATGTCTGTAGCCTAGTCCCACCAAAAAAAGAAACAATTCTTTAAGCCTCAAGGGCCAGTTTGCTCATGTCCGACCTGAGTTTCCTTAGTTGTCTTCTTAGTCCATCCTTCTTCTCCGAGTTCACAGGTGAAGTCTTTTCTTTAAAGCTCGCCCATGTCGCCTACCCAGGTGACCATCCAAATCCCCTCCGAACCCAATCTCGACGGGTTCGTGTTTCTGTCCAACCACACCTGGTTGGAAGGCCTCATGAAAGGCTTTTCACTGTGGCTTGCCACTCTGAAACAAAGTCCTGCGGTCCTGGTTCCCGGAAAGACCGCCGCTGACCGGTCCACTTATCCTCCCGAACACGACGTCACCACGGTTGGGCAACACGTGGCGAGGCAACGACGCTCCCGCATTGCGGCACCCACGGTCATCCGCTCTCCCGCTGGTGTGGGCGCACCCCTCACGGCGCGCCAAGCTGAGAGTGCCATCCTGGCACTGAGGGAGCATCGAGTTGAAGGGTCAGGATTAATTCATACCCCACATTAAGTAACACCCGGCCAAGAGTTGTCCGAAGCGCAGGTGGATGTCAAAGAACCTGCGTTCGCTTTTTTTTCTGACACATCGTCTTCGGAAGGGGCCAGAGCCATCCAGAGCTCGTGCCAGAGCCATCCAGAGCTCGTTTGGAAAAGGATTTCATCTCAATCCCTTCGGGGGATGCAGGCGACGTCACGTGTCCCCACGAATCCCGAAACCCGAATCCGAAACGCCGCTCGACCCACAATCTTCACGCATCGGGACCCGTGCTTGGGCCCTGTCTCAAGACTCCGCGACACGATGCGTGAGAATTTGTTTTTGGCCATGCTTTTCCAGCCGTTCGGCAGTTTCTGCACCACTTCGATCGTTCGCGATCGTAGGCAAGCCATGCCATGCAGGGGGTAAGGAATTATGATGAAAACCCAAACCCCTGCCCTCTTATGTATTTTTTAACTATAACCGCCATTAATCGCCCACGGCTCAAACTCAAATCCTTCATTCCTCAAATTTCCCCCAGTACCATCAGTACCAAGGTTTGGATGGTTTCTGGACCTCCCCTGCCCGCCCCAAATCCTGAACTGCTGCCTCGCTTCCTCTTGTTTCCTACTAGTACCACCATAATTTGGATCCCCTCCACACGCTTCATTCTCTCAAGAAGCTGGCTATGCTGGGTCGAACGTTCGCGACCTGTTTGTTTTTAATGTTTTTATATGTTTCCTGTGTCAATCCAGTCTTGTAACATCTTATAACGGTTTCCTGTCTGTTCTTGAATGATGGCCTTGAATGCTGGATCAAACGGTGGCCTTGAATGATGTGTCATGGGTCGAGCTTGAGCTTGACTGGTTGACAATCATCGTTTCCTGTCTGTCTGCCCAGGGGCCTCATGCTTGGCAAGCTCTGCCTCCTTGACAGGCTCCTGCCAAAAAGGCACCTGCACTGCACGGCGGGTCGGTCGTCCAGACTTGTTGAGATGGATGCGTGGAATCGTACCCAGTGGAATCCCAGTTTTATATATGTGTTAAACCCAGTGGAATTGTACCCAGTCACCAGGGTGTCGCTAAACCATGCTAAACCCATTTTTCCAGTGGGATCCCTGTGGGTGTCGCTTGGTCTTTGCTATGGAGTGCTTGGAACCATCAGCTTTTCCCAGGCGACATCGGTACTTGGCCCAAAACCTCCGCAGTCAGTACCTCGCCACCTGGACGTCGTTCGTCCTCGTGTTCTTGGCCGAGCAAACACATGGGCCGAAAAGGTGTGAGCAAACAGCAGCACCAAGGGATTCCCAATGTAGACTCTTGATTCAGAAACTTATAAACCCTTGGATTCACGTCTTCTATCACTCTCGCGTTTTGTTGTCCAGGATGGTTTTGTTGTGGGCCCTGCATTGAAGCGTCGCTGCTGACACACAGGTCTTACATGACCCGGTCACCAGACCAGACCCTATGCCCCCCCCTTCACACTCCCCTCAACAGCGAAACAGCGAAACAGTGGGGGGGCTTTCTTCACCCTCACACCTCGTCCCATGCGCCTCGTCCGTAGTCTCCAACATACACAGTCCAGATACGTCCAACACCGTGTTGGATCCATCAGGTGGTCGTCGTATGGAATCCTTTTGAGCGGAAAAAGACCGTGGGAAAGACCGAGAAAAGTCATGATAGACCGTAGAAGGTAACGAGAACTTTCTCTCGAAACATGAGACCCTTCGCCCGTCTCTCACCGCAACCTTTCGGACCAGTCTCCGCGCCACCGGTGCCACCGAGAGAAAGCGCCGCCCGGGCCGCCTTCCATTTCTCGTCGCCAACTTGGACTTCATCGCGCTTCGGCGGCATAGCTCTGTACAAGTCGTCCAGTTTGTGGCTTGTCCGAAGTGCTGCTTGAAGCGGATGTTCCAAACTGGGATGCTGGGACGTGGTTTGTTTGTGGTTGTTTCCGTGACGCTGACAGGGCTGACATGGCTGATCAGCTAAGGTGGGCTCACATGATGGAGGAAAGCACCAAAACAGGGCCCCAATCAGGCCCATGAGCTGGAATGCCAGCAGGTGAAAAGAATCCTTCAAGAACTCTCTGTCAGTGAGCCTGGCATCACGTGCACATGAATGGGCAGGTCAACCAAAAAAGACATGTCCTTTCAGCATGTTAAGTTCCAAAGGGGGAAAGTTCCATGTTTCCCACAGAAGCAAAAACACGAAGCGAATCGGTGGATCCCAAACGACCGACCGATTCGCAGCACCGGGTCACGGCCGTGTCCATGCCGTTCGCAGTGTGTCGAACACAGATCGGTCTCGAAGCGGCCCAGGGCCATGGTACGAAACAACGTTGTGTGATCCTTATGGACGGAGGGTTGGGGGTTGAATATGGTTTGATAGCAGACCCAGGCCACGGAACTGCAAACATATGTAAACACCCTCCAACAGGTCAACAGGTCAGGTTTTAATTGGTGACCTGTTGGAGGGTCCTGGTATATCTTCTTGGAATATCTGGCATGTTTCAAGGGCCCCTCCACCGGGTCACCGGCTTTTTACAGGCTTTTTGGATGGTTCTTTTAGAAGCCCAGGTGATCAGGTGATCCCAACAGGTCCCTTCCAAAAAGAGACGATGCACATCATCTCTATGGGATGTTCACTTCGCCACACCGTGGCCCGGATGAACGTCACATCATGACCCACTCGAGGCGTCAAGAAGAAAGGAGTCTGACCAGCTCGGGCGACCCGGCCGCTTGTCCCACTTCACCAGCGCCGGCGATCCTGGCAGATCGGTGGAGGGGCGGCAGAGTGTGATCCTCGTAGGGGCCAGGCCTAGCCAGTGGTGAACGGGAAATAACCGGAACTCGTTGGCTCCCAAACGGAGCCGGGGAATCAGATGGAGACCTCCGGTGACACGAGTGCGAGGACTCGTGGGGACGAAAAATTGGCCTATCAAAGAATCGAACATGGGACATGGATGAACATGGCATTAATCCAGCAAATCGTCGCTTTACTTTGCAAAGGCAACTGGTCTGAGGCAGGCAAAGAATCATACTTCCATGTTGCCCAGTCATTATAGTCACGAGTCCTCTAGCCTGCTCTTTGTAAATGGAACCCATACACTCTCGACGTGAAACCGGACGGAAGGGTCGTTGAATCATTGGCTCACCCAATCGAACACACTCAAGAATATGGAGTCCTAGCCAGACGCTCATGGACCCTCAAACTGTCACATGCTTATACAATCTTATACATGTTTGGGGTCCTAAACACCAGCTATGAGGGCATATTATGATATTAATATATGTATAATGAGCCTTTGGGTAAGGGCTTTGGCCAATCATTTATCCTTTCAGCCTCCGGAAGAATGATTGTCAGGAGGGGAATGTTCACCAGGTTGCCAGTTGTGGTGGATGTCTTTCAAAACAGAGCCATCCCCATCAACCACAAATAATTCCAACCTTTTTCAGCCGTTTCTCACGCTGATCTTCCGGCAGCGGATTTCATGCTTCCTTTCAGGGCCACCTTCCACTTCCACTTCCATATCATTATAAAAGTTTTTCATATGGTAAGGCCAGAAACCTTGACTAAAAAAAGAACGTTTAAAAAAAAAGAATCAAACAACAAACGGAAAAAATCACAAAAAAATGGTCAAGCATAGATCACAACTCGAAAAAGTCTTTATATAAACAAAAAAAACAATAAATATAACTTAAAAAATACAATTTAAAAAAAAAAAAATGTCAAGAAAATGTTTAAAAAAGATGTTTTAAAAAATGAAAACAACTCAAAACAAATCAAAAAAAGAATAATCAAAATTGGAAAACATCACGAAAAAGTCAAAAATAAATCAAACAAAAGTCAAAAAAATGTCGATAAAGAAACATTTAAAAAAAAAAAAAAGTAATAATAATCACACGCGGATCTGGGCCAATTGACTTTTTTTGACTTTGAAACTTTCTGATTTGACGTGTTTTTGACTTTGACTTTTGGGACTGACTACTAAGTTGATGTTTTTGACTTTTGTTTAATTTTGAAAACAGGCTCTCTCCAATAAAAGATTTCTATAACCATATCAAATTCCAGGTTCTGACCATGTAGACTCTTGATTCACAAAACCCCCGATATCTAGAGGTTTTACATAGGATTTACGATTCAATTGGAGGCGGGTGTTCCTAAATCAGGAGTCTACACATGATTAGTCATTAGTCCTTGACTTTCCTTTCTGAGTCATTCGGATGAGTCTCCTTTACTCATCAAATGAGTCTCCATGACTCACATTCCTTTAATGCGCACACAGGATTAAGCAACCCCGCCTTATTAATCAAGCCCAGCTAGCTAGTGTCCTATAGTTTACTAGCCCAGCTGGGGGGGTGGATTAATCCGGTGTTGGCATTACGCAGGTCTCGATGTCCCTCGAATGTCGTCCCTAGTAGCATCCGATCGCTCCATTCCTAGCGATGCCCTTTGCTCCGTTCGTAGCGTCCTTGTTCCTAGTAAGGCCAGGAGCCCCGTTCGTAGCGCCCGGCGACGTCGTCCAATTCGCCGGCGCCACGGCGCCGCGCTCGCACCGCTCGGAGGCTTGGCCGGCCGAGAGCTCCGCGCGCCGCCGGACGGCCCTGGGGGGGGACAACAATCGCAGAGACGGACGGTCCGAAAGGAAAAAAGGATGAGAACGGGTGGAATCGAAGAGAACATGAAATTCGGTTACACTGTCTGTTGGTGTTGTTGCTGCTGTGGTTGGGGGAGGGGTCATTTTTATATCTTAAGACGCATCTATGGAATCTATGAGCGAATCTATGGGCGGATCCAAAGGAATCTCTCTTGCGGGCGACGCTTCCCGCACGGTCCTGGCGAAACCGCGTCAGGTCGAATTGGGACTTCGAAAGCTGGGCACACGACATGAGACATCAGTTCTGAACACTAAAAGGTGTAAAGCGCACATACTGTATCCTTTGTGCATGCATTATACACTGGCATGTATGCAATGTTGTCTGATACACTAGGATATGTGATATGTGTATGATGTACAACATAAAACTTCAAACAAGCAAGCAAACAAACAAACATGCCGACTCTGGTTAGGTCCGCTGTAGAAACACAGGGCTCCACGCCATAGCCACCATAGAAGCCCTTGGTGTTGGAGTGAACTTAACCGACATCGTCATGCAAACTTCAGAGAAATGTCTCTGGAAAATCAAGGTTTAGCCTTCCACCCTCTTCTATTTGAGTCCCCGAAGAAAGGTTTATCCACTGTGCGCGTAATTAGGACAACTTGCAGTCTTGTGCACAAGATTGAACTAGTTAAGGCACAAAGAATAAGATCAGAGCTGAACAGTCGATCAGTCTGAGAATCCCTTGCACTATGACCACGGTGACAAAAAATGGAGCAAACCCAAATTCAGGAACTTTGTGAAATGGTTGGAGCACCGCATAATCTTTAGACTTTAAGTATCATCAAGTCTAGATCTAGATATTGGTTCTTTCAGCTGTCACAGTCAGCCATGATCTGGTGGTTCACCATCCATGCTGGGAATTCACTCAACGATCCCAAGCAAAAACAACAACAACAACAACAACAACAACATCATCAACAACAACAACTGTACTGCGCACACCGCACCGCTGTGGACCCTTTTGGCAACCATGGCATGGGCTCCTCTGTCTCAACGCAACCTGCCAATTTCGTTCATTGGGAAGGTCGATAAAGCGGTGCGAAGGACAGGACGGGCGATCGTGGAAATGGACTTTCTGGGTGTCTCTGAACGTTGTTCTCATGGTTGCTTGGCATCTCATGGTTTCTTGCGGTATAACGATACTATATGGTGCTATGACAAAAGGATAAATAATGTGGAAAAAAATGTTGATCCCTTATCATGTTGTATCATTTTGTCATTGATCTCTGCTTTGACAAGAGCAGATGTGCTGTTTCGCGATACGGACCCAGCTTGCAGAAGTCCGGGTAGCCCCACTGTTGCTTTAGTCAAAACCGGGACGACCGACCGGTTGACCAGTGAAAATGAACAGAATGGACTACCAGACATGGTCAATGTACCTGGGGAAACGGAGGTCCAGGTTTTGGCCCACGGCCATATGTGGCTGAAACTAACATGGTGCCAAAGGCCAGAAGCTTGGCAAGCGTGTTTTCGCTTCCACGCGACGCATGGGGTCAAGATCGCACCACTAGTCATCCCTAGTCTACGGTTGATTGGAGAGAAGCAGAACATGGATTTCCATCGATTTCCAATCACCAGCACGAATGAGACGGAACAACCAATTACGAAACAACCAATAAACTATCAGCTTTTATTCTATACCATGGCGTTCGAAACGGACCTGCCGCAGCCGTCCGCGTTCGAACCCCAACTCGAACTCGTCCCCCCCGTCCCCGTCCGCGGAACCGGACGGACTCTCCGAGCGAGAACGAACACGTTCAGACTCCCTGCCGAGCTGGATAGGAGGGTGAGGGCTCAAGGTGGGCCCTCTTTCCACCTGTTCCCAAAACGACTGGTGGAACGTAGCTGACGTAGATGTTTCTTGATTTTCTTGACATGGTTTTCCGCGCTCACCACGGAAAACATGCTCGAGACATCGTCTGACCTCGCAACAACATCTTCGGACGATGCTTTCCTTAATTCCTGGCCTCGTATCCATGTGCTCCATGTGCTCAAGACAAAAACCATCTTCCAACCACGCTCTTTCTCTACCTGGAGATCTGTTTTTCGATGCCATGGCCAGAAATTGGCCAAGAACAAGCTCCGAAAGCGTCCTTTCTTCGCCTTCGTCGCATGGCCGGACCCTTCTTCCGCCAGAAAACAGGCGAGGGTCCGACACCTCCCCACCGACTCATCCCCCAACGACGGATCCGGATCGCACCTCCGTCGTCCTCGTTGGACAC